AGAATAACGGGGATCGAACCCCGGATTCACAAATCGAAAAGGCTAGAAGCATCTAACTACATGTACTTAACGAGACAACCTCGTGTAGAGAGCCAGGTGGTTTTACCTAGAATATATAATATGCACATTACGGACGCGACAATTCCTTTCCCATCTGTCACTTCCTTACTCCCCTCTCGGCGGATAGATTTGCCCGTGACCAGTCAAGCGTGACAAAACATTCGCAGCAAAAACGACCGTATTCGCTCCAAACATTCTCACTCCCCGAGGCACAAAAATGTGAATTTACGCCCATAAATGACACGCGCACGCGTGCGAGCGACCACACCGCCGTGTGGCATCCGAGGGTGGTGTGTAATGTGTGATTTTGTGAACTGTAAAAACACACGTATTATACCCGTAAATCCACTATTTGTGCTTTTGGGTGAAAAAGTTTCAGGCTGAAATACGGCCATTTGCGTCAAAGATTCCCATGCTTGACTGTCATGGGCCGATACTAGCCCGAGAGGGAGTAAAGAAGTGTCAGAGGGATAAGGAGTCTGTCGCGTCCGCCGTAATGTGCATATATGTATCTATGTAAAACGCACCTGGCTCTACATGAGTGTCTCGGTTAGTAAATCTAGTTTAGACGCTCTAGCCTTCAATTTGAAACGGGGTCGAAATCCCCGTTAATTGTTTGCTAAAATATTTCTAACTTGTGTAAAGTAAAACTTATTTGGCCAGACATGATATGCAAAGCATATTACGCACGCACGGCTCAACACTGAAATAGAAATCTTGTGCGTGTGTGTGCTGTGCGTGCGGTGCGTTCGTAAATAGGCTTTGCATGCTTGACTGGTCATGGGCGATACTATCCGCGAGAGGGGAGTAAAGAAGTGTCAGAGGGATAGGAATTGTCGCGTCCGCGTAATGTGCATATATGTATCTATGTAAAACCACCTGGCTCTACATGAGTGTCTCGTTAGTACATCTAGTTAGAGCTCTAGCCTTTCAATTATGAAACTGGGGTTCGAATCCCCGTTAATTGTTTGCTAAAATATTTTCTAACTTGTGTAAAGGTAAACTTATTGCAGACATGTATGCAAAGCATATTACGCACGCACGTTCAACACTGAAATGGAAATTGTGCGTGTGTGTGTGTGCGTGCGTGCGTTCGTAATATGCTTTGCATACATGTCTGCAATACGTTTGCCTTTACACAAGTTAGAAAATATTTTAGCAAAGAATTAACGGGGATTCGAACCCCGGTTTCACAATTGAAAGGCTAGAGCTCTAACTAGATGTACTAACGAGACACTCGTGTATAGCCAGGAGGTTTTACCTAGATACATATACGCACATTACGGACGCGACAATTCCTTTCCCTCTGTCACTTCCTTACTCCCCTCTCGCGGATAGTTTGCCCGTGACCAGTCAAGCGTTGAAAAACATTCGCAGCAAAACGACCGTATTTCGGCTCCAACATTTTCACTCCCCGAGGCACAAAATGTGAATTTACGCCTATAATACACGCGCACGCGTGCGTGCGACCACACCCGCGTGTGCGCATCCGAGGGTGGGTGTGTATGTGTGATTTTGTGACTGTAAAAACACGTATTATACCCGTAAATCCACTATTTGTGCTTTTGGGGGGGAAAAGTTCAGGCTGAAATACGGCCATTTGGTCGTCAAAGATTTTCCATGCTTGACTGGTCATGGGCGATACTATCCGCGAGAGGGGAGTAAAGAAGTGACAGAGGGAAAGGAATTGTCGCGTTCGTAATGTGCATATATGTATCTATGTAAAACCACCTGTCTCTACACGAGTGTCTCGTTAGTACATCTAGTTAGAGCTCTAGCCTTTCAATTATGAAACTGGGGTTCGAATCCCCGTTAATTCATTGCTAAAATATTTTTTAACTTGTGTAAAGGTGAACTTATTGCAGACATGTATGCAAAGCATATTACGAACGCACGCACGCACGCACGTTCAACACTGAAATGGAAATTGTGCGACGCGCGTGTGTGCGTGTGTGCTTCTCAAATCGTCGTAGTTTTCAGTAAAAGGTAATGTGCTAGGACACTACTTTGCCGTGAACCACTGGTAGCCGGCCAAGCCACTGGTTCGGGGATAGAACACGGGACGACGCTACCCACTTACCATATATAGCGTAATATATATATATTA